CAACAAACCGGTTTGGTCCGGCCGGCCCCCCCCCCCCCCCCCCCCCAAAAAAAAAAACCCCCCTTCTTGAAATGAAAGGAAAACTCCGAGTAATTGAAGTACGGAGAGGTATGTCTCTCTCTCTTTCCACGCCCGTCCATCACCAATCACCTCATAACCCTCCCCCTCCTCTAACCCTAGCCCCGAATCCAATCACCTAGTAGTAAAATAACACACATAACGGACTCGTCTCATTAATAAACCTACGTATACCAAAGTAATCATTAATTTTACATACACCTAACACCCCCAGCAATTCCAGCTTCCGTTTTCCCTAAGTAGCAGGGTCGGACTCAACAATATGCCATACTCCCCGCTTCACCCTCAAACAAAGAACTAAATAACTAACACTACCCAATCTCACCTCAAACAATCAAACCCCTGGCGAATTAGTCGCCATGCCAAAACCAAAACCAATACTAATACTCTCTTCCCTTCGCCTCCAATCTCACTCTTCACAACCCCAAATCCGCAGGACACGACCGTACCCGCTGAATGACCAAACCCTCACCCTCCATCTCCCCATCCCTCCCCCTTTCCTTCCCCGTCCTCCCAAATCTCAACTGCAAACTCTTCTTCGTCGCCAACGTCGTCCCCCAAAATTTATCCGCCATTGTCAGTTTCTTCCGCCCCTCCTTGTCATTACTATCCAGCATCTTCCCCACACTCCAATTGCTCCTATTCCGCACGCCCAAGTTCCTCTTAAGCTTACTCACTTTTCTCTTATTGTTGTTCTTCCTCCTCCAGATATGTCGTGTCGTCTTCGCACCCCTGAACCCCACCGAAGAAACTGGTCTACCCACAAGTGCAAAGCGTGCCTTGGTCTTAAAACACACCTTCCTAACCCATTTCCGAAATTTGACTCTATGGAATTGCTGAGTGAGCGTCCGCGTAGATCCATCCGCATTCTTCAACGTGAAAAGTTGCATCCACGACGAACGGCGAGAGAGCGGTCGTACCCCTGAATCATGGATGGTCGACCAGTCATCATCTCTCTCCGAGAACGCTGAATGCCGCACGGCCGTCTGCGACGTCTCGTTGGTGTCCACGCTGATGCCACACAGCTCGTCGGCTGAACCAACGCTGCTACAACGAAGCTGGTCATCATCAGACGTGCTCCTTGCGTTCGGTCTCTTGTAAAGCAAAAACCTGACGTCTAGCTGTGAAGAAACGGCGTTCTCGTTTTCCAGTATCGGTACTATAAGCTCGCTGTTCGAAGATTGATGTTTCTTTCGGTCCATTTTGCGAATGATACCCGATCCGCGCCTCGGGCCTATCACTACATTCGAGTATCTAGACTCCGTACGATGGTATTCGACCGGATCGCGGAATGGAGAGGGATCGAAACTGGAATTCGGTCCGACAGCAGTCGAACGGGAAATGTCGCTAGGATCGAGCGCGGCCCGGAGTTGTCGTAGCCCTATGGGAACACTAACGTTTGCTTCGCTCACAGGCATACTGGACAAATGCCACGAGCTCCGGGAAGGATACTTTCCGTAGCGCAAATACTTGGTCAAGTCATTATTCCCAGGCATTGCAAGTTCCGGCGAGCGGCACATCGCGACGGGCGAGCGCATGCCCTCAGACGGGTAAGAAGACGAAATAGAGCGTATTCTTTCGAGCCCGCTGGTCGACCTCGTCGGAAACGAAAAGCAGCCATCACCTCTCTTCTCCGTCCCACTCGTCTCCCCGCTGGACAGGCTGAGCGAGCGGATCCTGGGCATCTCCTCGATCCGTTTACGCACTCGGCTGAGAGTAGCTGGCAAGAGTTGCTTCAAAGGTTCTTTCCCTGTACTCTTCGGGTTTGATCCATGCTTGCTATCCCTCCCTGGGGAAGAAGAAACATTGACTTCGGCCGAGCTAGTATCATCGTATCCATGCGCGAGTGAGTATTTAGAGCCTGTCTCCGGGCGTATATTCTCATTCCTCCGCCCCAAAAGCGGCCAGTCATCAGCGCCCTGGCTGCTATTCCAGCGATTCTCCGTCCTGTCGAACAATGCCGAGAAAGCGGCTGATATGGTTGGCCGTCGATGGGGACCGTGCTGGCCATTGTGGACGGTATTAGAGAGTCTGGACGGGGCGGGTTCGTCGTCATCTTGGGATTTATCACTACGCATGAATCCTCGGCTTGGGAGGGACCATCGATGGAGCAGCGACATGATTGTGTGCCAGTTTAGTAGGTAGTAATTGCCCGAGCACACACGCTCTCTCTCTTTCTCTCTCTCGTAGTGGTAGTAGTATGAGCTCTTTCTCCTTCGTGGTAGTATTAGCGATATGGCGAATGTCTGTGTGCCTGATACGGTTGATTGAAAACACAATCAAGGAGGATGTGCGAATAACTGTCTCCCTCAGGGGGCTGCGCTCGACACTCGACACTCGACTCGACACTCGACACTCGACAATGTGATTGTTCACCAGCAAAGGAGCGGCTCCCTTTCATTTGACTATCCCATCATGATGGAAGCTGCTACGCACATATTTCTTACTAACACCGTGTTTCACGAAGATATATCTAGGAAGTAGCTCCCGACAACATCCATACCTTGGTATGGTAGGATATGCCTTCCTGTTGTGAAGATAATACAACAAGGGAAGTGTGTATTAGGTAATCACAACAATTCTAGCGGAAATACGCCGTCATGTAAAAGCATTGCATTCGAGGACATCTATAGTAGGGGAATCCTCTCTTCTAATTTTCAAAACCAATTGTCTCCCATCTCCCATCTCCCACCAAACCTGCCCCAGATAGCTACCCCCTCCTCCATAATACGCAACCCTTTTGGACTCTCTCAAGCAACAACACCACCTCTTCTCCTACTAGTATCCGCACCCAAGTAATCAATCGGATTCCGGCACAGCGGACACGTGTTCTGGTTACTGCTCTGGAACCACTTGTAAAGACAAGTACGATGGAACAGGTTCTTGCAAGTCTGGCATCTTTTGTCAGGCATTTTCTTATCCGTGCTGATGATGCTGTAGCAAATGGCGCATTCGGTCTGGCCCTTTAGAGCGCCGACGACATTACGTCGGAATGTGGCGAGTCCATCGATGATGTTGCCGCCCTATTTAATGTTGGTTAGAAAGTGACATGTCATGATGATATATCACAATGGAATAGTGTACATACCGAGAATGTAATGGCACCCTGGGTCGTCAAGATCCAGCTCTTCCACTTCCTCTCATCAACCGCGACACGGTTAATACCGACAACCGTAACCGCGTCAAGCGGGAACTGCGGAGGTATGCGAATAGCGATTGAAGCATTGAGGTCGTCGACTTCATACCCAGCAATAACCTCCCTCGCCACCGGGCTAACCTTCACAATGAGCTCCTTCTCATCATCAGCTGGTGGCTCTTGGCTCTCGTTCCACTTTGCCACGTCTTCCAGGGCTTCCGCGATAATGAGAGGAGAAAAGTGTCTCGCCATCCACGCTTCCACTGCAAGTCTGGTCTGCTTCGATCGACAGTTGACATGCCACGCCTTGAAAAGGCCCGGTACGAATTTCAACACCAGATAGTACAGATGGACGAGGAGCCACTGCATAGCCCACTCTGGAGAACCGGATTCAGCGAATCCTACGATGTAGTTCTTGATGAGTTGGGCGGTGAAGCCTGCCCGGTCTAGATTTAGCGCGCGAGCTGCCGAATGACCCAGCACATCAAAGGTAAAGTTCATCAAAGGGTCGATATAGTTTTCCGTCTTTAGGTTTTCAGTGTAGTCGCCACGCACTTTGAAAGAGGCAGCGCGGAAAGCGTCGAAGACCAGGTGCCACGATAGTAGATATGAGCGGACGGCAGTCGGGAACTGAGCCATGATCTCGTCGGGGTAAGAATCCAGAGTCGGTGCGTCGAGTAGAAGAGATAACAGTTCATCCGGTAGTCGTGCGTCTTGCTTTTCTAGAATGACATCAACCGAGATTTTCTCTTGGGCAGCTGG